CGATCCTCCGCAGAGGACCGAAGGATGCGCACCACTGAAGAGCCCCAATAGGGCGAAACGGCCGTCTGGTGCTTTTCCGGATAGCTGGTCGACATATCTGAATTGTCGGCTGATTGCGACGAACAAACATAAAGGAAACAGTCTGAACTCCATCGCCACCAAATTATTCGCCTTCGTAATCCTTTACAGACTGACCGGCGCTGGTGAAAGCCAGATTCGTGGGGAGCAAGCCGGGTTTCGTCGCGGTCGTGGCTGTATCGACCACATTTTTACCTTGCGTCAGTTGTTGGAGCACCGTCACACATATTGGCGGCTTACCGTAGTCCTGTTCCTCGACATCAAAGGTGGCTTCGATTTGGTGGATCGACGTGCCCTTTGGAATTGTCTACTCGGGAAAGGTGTGCCCGAGAAATACGTAAATATTATCCAAGCATTATATGCGCGTAGCACGGGCAGATTGAGGGCTTATGGAAAGCTGGCGCCGCCCTTTACTATATCCAGCGGTGTGAGACAAGGATGCCCGCTGTCACCTTTCCTCTTCAACTTCGCTATTGTTGAAGTCATGGAGGTTGCTTTTACAGGACATGACTTGGAAGGTATGGAGCTGCTCCCAGGAGAACAACTTCTTGACTTGGAGTATGCAGACGACATTGCCCTCATCTGTGACAGCTCCCAGACGTGCCAAGCCGCGCTGGACAGGTTAGCACTGGCTGTCAGTCGCTTTGGGCTTTGCACTGCACCATCGAAATGCAAAGCCTTCCTCCAAGATTGGCAGGGATCGCTTCCTGCGCCGACTTCTGGTGGAGATCAGCTAGAAGTCGTTCGGAAATTCAACTACCTGGGAAGTTGTATCAGCGCCCTTGGGATCGAGGACGAGATCACGAACCGTATGGCAAAAGCTCGAAGTGCATTTGCTAACCTTCGCCACCTATGGCGGTGGAGCGACATCACTCTTGCCCTGAAGGGTAGATAGTACAATGCGGCGGTACGTTCGACCCTACTGTACGGTTGTGAAACCTGGCACCTAAGATTGGAGGACATGTAGAGTCTAGTTACGTTCGACCATCGGTGCCTTCGCAGTTTGGCTCAAATTTGGTGGGAACACAGCGTGAGTAACCAGCGTGTTTCACGCCTTGTTTACGGCACAGAAAAAGGAACTGAACCGCTCAGCACCGTCATTTCACGCACCAGGCTCCGATGGCTCGGCTACATGTTGCGCATGCCAGCCTATCGACTTCCACGACATGCGTTGTTTGCTCACCGGGGATGTGGATGGAAGAAGAGGAGGGGTGGCCAAGCGATAACTTGGTCAAGAGGAATGAAGGCCCTCACTTCGGAGCTGGCCTCGGTTGGAGCGTCAGGGCTCCCTGGTTGGAGTCCAAGAGACGGTGAACACGTTTGGCTGGATACACTTGCTGACAAGGCAAGAGCCGACCTCAATGGCGTTCCTGCTGTGAGTTTCTTTGTCCCTCCCCATCCCTTTTAGCCTCCCCCTCCAAGTACGATTTCGTTTCTTAGCGTAAAACATAATAACTTTCCTTTTTGCCAAGTATCAGGCTGGTAGCTTACTGGAACGATGCCGATCGGTTGCTGGTAGTTCAGCTGGCAAGCAACTGTTGTACCTATTTTCCTTTTTCATTTATGTATTGCGCCCCAGTGGCTGAGGGGTTTCCCACCTTTAGGTGACGTGCATACTGATAATGATGATGGTCCATATAACACCTATACCCAGTAGAAAAGCACGAGTAATGTAATCACTTTAGGTAACGAAGTGCTGAGCGCCAAGAGCAATATCTAATCATTTTTTGAAAATGTCCAATCTAGGGTAGCGCACAAGTGAGTCTGGGAGATAATTCCAGCGACGGCAAACGTGAAGGGAAAATTTATTCCGCCAATAGCATAGACCGCTTTATTGTTCACTTAGTTGAACAAGTTTCCTCTTAGCTTGGTCTGTCGGCTAATATTCCGTAAATAGTAGCATACTGGTTTGGGGTCACACAATATTTGCTGCGTTAATATGCGATCGCCACGCAGCCTTCGTTAGTGTCCGTTGAAAATTGCTAACTACTTCAGCTTTCGTGGGTAAGAGTGATTGCGTAGGATCTTGGCATTCTTTGTAGCTTCGCATTATGTTGTGCCTAGCATTTCCGAGTCACATTTTAACCAAGTTTGCCAAGCTTCGATGGCGTATTCAACGTGAAGTCACCCGTAAGAATTCTGTATCATTGAGAAGATTGATACTCTCCACAGCTGATGGACGTGCTGGTTGCTTCTTTTCTCAGCTGCCTCAGCTTATTTTGAACATTAGGATTACAACTATTTTTAACAGCTTAATTCAATTTGTATCAGCACTCCAAGGTCACGTTCTTAGGAGATGGTCTGCAAAACATATGCCCTAAGCAAATATCCTTCAAAGTTTAATTTTTACTCCAGCCATCCCACGGGACTTGTGAAGCACATGCTTTTTTACCCGTAATAAATCATTGTGCATTGTGTATTGTGCAACCATATATGTGACGTAATTAGGCGACGCGTCATTTGTCCACACTGCACGGTAAGGTCTTTCGCAATGGCCAGTTGGAAATCACGTTTAGGTCGCGCTGGAGCTCTTCATGTTAGTCCGGTTACCCAATCGGTCACCATATTTCGGTATCATCTGCGAATAATAGGAAATCGGATGTAATTTCCCCCGCTAGATTGTTTATGATTGTCAAAGTAGGCGAGGCTCTAATACCGAGCCTTGTGGTAAATCGCACTCCACTTCCATTGCGTCAGACAAGGATTCTCGCTTCCAAGTGACATTCGTGTAGCAAAATGAATATCCAACGCAAGATTGGGTCACTAATGACTTAGTTCTTATGTGTATAGTATATAATTTGATTGTCTAAGCGATCAAACGCTTTGGAGAGGTCCACCTAAATGGTGTAGACTCTTGCTTCACCATTAACTTCTTCAGTCCAGCTATTGCCTGAAACTAATTGGTTTGTAGTACATGAGCGGTTTTGACGAATGCCATCATCTACGATGATTGATTCCATAACTTTGGAAAACACAGGAAGTAACGCTTTTGGACGGTAATTGGTAGGGTCAGCACAACTAACTCCCTTATCTATACGCGTGAAGACCCCTCGCTTGCGTATTAACGGAATTTGGTTTTCCTTCATGCAGTGCTGATATAAAATGGACAGTGGTTCTGCTAGATCACTGGCTACTGCCAGCATGGCCTTCGAGCTTATGTTATCTATTCCAGGAGAACCGTGGGCAGGCAGTGATGAGAATTTCATCAACCCAGGATCTGAATTGGAGATGGTCTAGGATAAACCTTAAGGTGGATTACTAAAAACGAGAATAATTCAGGTCCTTATCTGCTAGGACGTATGGAAGCAATGAAACTGCAACAGATCTGTGGCCTCCATTGCTAATCGGGTGTACCCTTCATTCCTAACTAGGGCTGGGATTCCATGCGGCACCTTACGAGGGCCATTAACTTGCCTGTGTAACAGTTTTCGATATGTAGAGAACTGATTAACTTACTCCTGCTCATGAGCCGCATGGCTTGGGAGAAACACGTTCAAACCAAAATTAAGCTGTGCTACGTACGCAGTCTCGGTTTCGAAATTTGGGCAGACCTTCTGAGCTCGCCAGGCTAAATCTCTCTGGGACTTATATTTCATATTCTGCTCTGTAGAAATGACCTTTTTGTTTTGGTGGTGGAGGGATTTCTGGCCTACCAGTTTTCTACATGTACTTGTAAAAGTTTCTCAGGCGGCTTCTGAGGGGCAATCAGTTAAGCATGTCCAAGTTTCCTTAACAAGCGAGGATAACAAACTGTTGTGCGAAACAGTATACACTGTCATCCTCTTCTTTAGAATATCCCAAATAGCATTTATAGTTAAAAATAGAGTAACCTGGTCACTGCGATCTAATAGTCGACCATGAGTTATTCGTTTGTGAGCTCGAAATAGTAGTGAGACCGACTTTGTGATACGATGCAGGAGACAAATTCCAGAACACTTTGTGATGAAGTGTTGCAGTGTCAGAATAGTTTGACACCTGAAGCTACCTACTTGAATAACATTACCAGATGCTTCATTTCAACAAAATCTGTCTTTTGTTGGTTGCTTTTTCGACACAATCACTTCTTCTAGTACTGATCGGAGCCTGATTGGATGGGACCTACCGTAAGGTGAAGAATTCTGCACGCCACTCTCAGCTGGCTCACTGGTAAGTGAATAGCATTCACTATAAGATAGAAAATGAGTAGTGACATGCTCTCATTTTCGTTTAGGCTCAAGTAATTTATCAGTTCAGCCCGAACACCAGCATGAAATTCATCAAGTAACGACCATTCTCTATATATGTGTCTTAAACCATTCTTTACGGAATCCCCGCTATAGCAAGTAAACTGGGTTCTGTATGAAAGAAGTAATGACCCAGTTTATCCCATTTGCCACCTTACATTCCCTTCAGAAGCTGCATTGCGAAGTATGAAATTTGCAATTTCACTGACTGAAAGGGAGTGCTGTGATTGCACAGCTTCCGGCGTCCCCACTCAATTAGCCATTAACTCTGCCGCTCAGCAGTTTTTCAAGGACAGCGGCATGTAGTGCCTTATAGGAACTATGATTAATGGACACAAAACCTTGAGAGGAGGTAAGCAAAACATAATGAGCTTACCAGTCTTGTCACCTCCGAATATTCTCAGAACTGAAAATGAAAACCTGCCGAATGCATGAGCGAGTGGCCGAGAATGGAATAAGTATACATGAATGTGAATATGCTGTAACGGGTGTACATTTGTCTTCCACCGTTTGACAATTTTTGGCTCTCCGACTGCCGCTCTTCTTAAAAGCCAGTGAATAGTTGTCCAATGATTAATCCAGTAGGCAGGGGAATAAGAAATGCTGGGAATAAACCAAATAATAAGACTAAAACACACGTACTAAAGCAGTGATATATTCCCAATCAGTCAATCTAGTTTGAAATTGTCTACATTTTAGATGGCCGTTTGGAAATTTGGAAGAACGGAACAAAGATAAGAGAAATCAACAAGTGCACTGTTTTGGGAGAATTGGCCATTCTCTATAATTGTCAAAGAACTGCCACAGTGAAGGGTAAGTTTAACTTCTCTGGACGCCACACTTTTCATTGTTAACATTGTTATAGATAAAACCACTACAACCCTTTAAGTGAATTGAGTGGCATTAGTGTTACAACACACAGCGGAATTATTTCGTGGCTCGGCTGATGTATATAATATACAGACAAGTTCCTTTACGGAATATGGTCTAAGTATGAATGTAGAGGAACTCAGGTCTGTTAATTGGTATGTCACGGTGCATAAATAGCAACAGGCATCAGTTCCACGCTAAGACGCAAATATACTTGAAACTGAGAGCGAAGTTATTGTTTATCGTGTGGGACTTACAGGACAGAAAATCTCTCAAGAAACGAGACATTTTTCCTATAGAGTTTCAACTGGCAACTTGTGACTGATACCTTAACTAAACGTCTTTGTAAAAAGCCCAAGAAGCGAGTTCCTGCTTTTAGCCCTCCAAGCGAAAGCCAGTTTTCAAGATGTGCGCTTACCCGCGGTACGCTTGAGCAACGCCAGCTCTTGCTTGATGGCTATAAATTAGCCGAATGTTAATAGCTAAACGCAGAAAATGAATGCACCAGAATTTTTACCCGTAGGTCCTCTATTTCATTAACGTACGCATAATGAGAATTTCGGCTAATTGAGTTTGCTTTTGGTGTATCGTGCTTTACGTACCGATTTAATTGGAGGTTAGCCGTTTTCCGACTGCACCGATTGTTGAGCCTCCGGCGACATATTGCTCACAGTACCTGTCCTGGTGTTGTAGATTGGCTCACTCACCCGTCAGTTCCCAATGGACCGAAGTACCTGTCCTTCAGATGTCCAATGAGCGATGGTAGATTAATGGTGGATGTTTGTGAGTAGTGTAAAGTTCGTAGAAAGCAGAAGTCACGATTAAAATTCACGCACAATAATGTGCCTCGACGGGGAATCGAACCGCGGTCTACGAATTTCCGATCCGCTGCTCTACCACTGAGCTACCGAGGGCTGACAATTAGGTGTGCAAATTTAACACATGATTTCTGCTTGGTGCGCGACGTATTGCCAATGGGCTCACAGTACCTGTTCTGGTGTTGCAGATTGGCTCACTCACTCGTCACTTCCTAAAGGAGCGAAGTACCCGTCCTTCGGACGTCCAATGGGCGATGGTAGATTAATTTTTGGATGTTTGTGAGAAGTGTAAAGCTTGTAGAAAGTAGAAGTCGCGATTAAAATTCACGCACAATCATGTGCCTCGACGGTGGTAGAGCAGCGGACCGGAAATTCGTGGACCGCGGTTCGGTTCCCCGTCGAGGCACATTATTGTGCGTGAATTTTAATCGTGACTTCTGCTTTCTACGAACTTTACACTACTCACAAACATCCACCATTGTTTACTATTTCTTCTAGATGTATTAATGCAGCGCAGATTTGGCCGAAAGTTTTAGTGAATAATGAACGTGAATATTTTACTCTCGCAGCCCATACAACTAAAACATGCTGATACAAAGTGAATGCAATGATTGGATGTTTTATTAGACTGTGCCTAGAATTGCACTTCTAAATTAGATCTACTTAATGCCAAACATTATTGCTCTAACCAACAGGATGGTACCAAACCTAGAGTTGTTGTTGAGGCTACCTCTAGAAAATCGAAGTTAAACCCACAAGATTCTTTACTATCACGTGGCAGTTGATGTGATTGTGTAACTTACTTACGTTCGGCCTATTTACGTGTCAGCATCATTTTATGGTGATCGATGGGAAGGGGAAAGAAATGCCCCAAATAGGTAAGTGTGTCGAAAAGGGGCGATTGATAACGGGTTCTTGGAAATTGGTGATGACATTGTGAACGCAATCGATATAAGCAATATTTATGATCGATGAAAAGGACGAGTTCCGTTCCTAAAGCTCGCTCACACGCTAAAGATCAAACCAGTACGAACCCATTAGTTTCGACACAGTGCGATATTTGTACAACAGGCTCTATCAACCACCTCAGCAGCTCACGAATATGATACAAGCTGAGATTTGTACACAGTTTTGTTTCCCTAGTCAGTTGTTCCGCAATACACGCATGAAAAAATACAAAGCTAAATATGCTGGATCAGAAAAACAATTAGATCTCAGTGGTGACTGAAGAACAAGACTCCATTGGCACCAAGACAATCTTACCAACTGCATTAGTAGTTTCTGCGCCCAGAGAAATGAACAATTGACCCTTGACATCAACACTTCATTTTGGAAGCAGTTATCCACTCCGATTATGTACTAATCATTCGCACAATTTCGTCGAATCGGCCTAGAGACAAGTAGTCATAAGCCGCTTGTAGATGGACGAGATAACTTACCCGTCCCTCGCTTAACCCATTATAACTCGTTGCCTCAAGGATCGCCGATATAAGCGAAAATCGCTTAGAAACAAAGCCGCCGTTGGAATACGGCACTATGGTAAAAATCAAACAAAAAACAAGTTCAGCAATATGTGCTTCCGGTAAAGATGTATTTATAAAAATAAAAATCTAAAATAGCCATAAAATAATCTTTAAGACACACTCACAATGCACCGAGGATTAAAGCGGAATACACAGAACCAAACAGAATAAGAGGCTACCCTGAGCCGCGCTCGACGGAAAATCTTCATTAAGTGATGGCATGATGCTTCAATCCGACAAAAAGAGGGAAATATCTACCGAAAAAACGTACACAACTTTTCCATGTGCTTGAATACGACCCGTAACGAGAGACAAATATTGCAAGGTTACATATGCAGTGCGAAGAAAAGAAAGAGAAATAATATAAATATATTTCCGAGCCAAATTAGCACATACAGGTAAGAACTTGAGCTAACCAGATATCATTACATCTCTTATGCCAACAGGTTGTTCCTTCCGATGAATCAAATTGAGGTAGGCCACTGTGACATGCGCACACCGTCGTGCGGCTGTTTCCTTAGCCAAACGCTGTCATTTAACAGCATATCAGACATAACGTGTACGCACGTATAGAGCACGTGGGTGTAGAGTGATCAGAACAGCCCGGTGTTGCTCGTGGACAACTTGTCACATGGGCGGTGACGGATTGCATGACGGGGGATGGGGGTAGTAACTCGTGGATATCTGAGGTCAGCCACGGCATGCTAGGATGAAACGGGGTCAGTGTATGATAAGAGATTTGGGTGCGATTCACAGCACCATTATAACAGAGCCTGTGGTCGAATAGGGCGACTGGCTACCCGCACACTGACACTGCGGACAGTCCATGTTCCCAAGCTAAACTCCATGCACTCGTTCGTACAATCTGTCGCGTGCTGTGGACACATGGCGTGCACGGAGCAAAAGGCACAACACGAGTGGTGCATTGAAGCGCGTGGGTCACAGGTTATTTTGGTCAAACCGCTAAATCGCAGGTGCACAGGTGGACATAGACACCTTCACTGGTGTGATGGTCGCAGCGTAGAAAGCTTCCCGGTGTCCTGCGATTGCGATGTGCGACGTATCAACATGGACAATAAGATTGTAATTCGGCGGATATATGAGTTCTCTTAGTGTTTGTTCCAGGGCTATCCAGCAATACGATTTAAAGCAATGTGTAAATGTTACACTGAGTACTGTTTAGTAGGGGCAATGAAGTGAACGCTCAACGAGTCCCGTAGGTAGATAGGGTGTAGACCCAAAAATCAAATGGTGGTGGTGATACCGCAGTTAGGCGTATACTAATGCTGCGGTGATATCGTGATATTCTATGGGCAGAGGATTAGTGATGCAAGACGATGCTGAGAATGGGATGTCTATACAGGGAGCGGCTTACGGGCTTGTTGTGCGCCGTCGCGTGCTCCTGCAGGTTGCGAATCGAGGAATGCCTTCCTACTGAGGGTAAGTGTGAATGAGTCACGCTTGTTCCGCAGGTGTGTTTACTAAGCAACCGCAGACAATCAACGCAGCATCTCAGAGCGTGGGGATTTCGAGTCCGGCCACCTGGTTATGCATTAAGTACCACAAAGACAATGTTTCCGGCCATAAGGGCGGTGACCACCCACCTTTTAACCGGAAGGAAGTACCTAACGGAGGGTGGATAAACAATCTCGATTCCTACTCACTTCTGTGTGGACTACCATCGAACACTAAGAAGACGTTTGATCCACCTGGCTGTCGACTGTGTTCGCATTCAGCAACGATTCGGATGATTCAGTAAGCGCTTCACGGTCCCTTTACCGCCATACTCGTACTGTTCCGGTGCCATAAATAGTTTGTTGCCACTCGAAGGTCGTGTTACCGGCTCGCGACGGTTCGCCATATACATTAATCGCCACACCGCTTTGCATGTAAGGAATTTAAAAACCAAGGCGCTGGTTTTGGTTACATAAGTTAGCCACCTTCTCCTACCTGGGTAACTGAAAAGCTCCATTTGCGTACAACATACTTGGACAAGAATCTACGTAATCCTCGAATCATTTGTAGGACACACGCACGCCAAACTTATTGGAGACATATGTGAAGAGGCCGTGGACCAGACTGACGTAGGAATTGTGTTCACTGTGCGCGCAGAAGCGCGCACTGACCCCGTTTCATCCGATCATGCCGTGGCTGACCTCAGATATCCACGAGTTACTACCCCCATCCCCCGTCATGCAATCCGTCACCGCCCATGTGACAAGTTGTCCACGAGCAACACCGGGCTGTTCTGATCACCCTACACCCACGTGCTCTATACGTGCGTACACGTTATGTCTACTATGCATCCGATATGCTGTTAAATGACAGCGTTTGGCTAAGGAAACAGCCGCACGACGGTGTGCGCATGTCACAGTGGCCTACCTCAATTTGATTCATCGGAAGGAACAACCTGTTGGCATAAGAGATGTAATGATATCTGGTTAGCTCAAGTTCTTACCTGTATGTGCTAACATGGCTCGGAAATATTTTACTGCACCTTTGACACACTGGGCTTCCCTTTGTGCAATTTGAAGCGTTGTGTTTAGTTCGCTTATTTTGTCAACTTGATCCATTAAATTTATTTGATCTACATGCTCATGATAAAATTAATCTAGTGAATAATTTACTTCCGTACATTTACTC